CCATCCTGACCCTTTGAAGAGCATCCCACCTAGACCCATTTCCCCCTATCCTTTCCCTGTAACTCTGCATTTCCCATGGCCAATCCACCTAACCTGCACATCTCTGGACTGTGGTAGGAAACCCACACAGACACTGAGAGAATGTGCAGACTCCACAGAGACAATTGCCTGAAGGTGGAATCAAACCTGGGTCGCTGACACTGTGAGGCAGCAGTACTAACCACTGAACCACCGTGCCGCGCATAACAGTGAGGCTTACTGACCAGTGACTTGTAACGTGCTCTTCTTCCTTCACAAAGATACACCACTATATAACTTGGATGAAGAGACACAAATATTCCAGAACACAATGCAAATTTTGCAAGGACTCAAAAAGACATTCTCCTCTCCCCCTCCTCCTCCGCACCCCCCAAATCATTTCAAGGGGCATTTAAAACTCAAATCTTAAAATTGCAACTCCAGATAAATCTCCAGATGATTCAGATGGGCTGGCAGTGAGGAATTTAAACTCACCCCCTCCTCTTTTTTTGTTCTACACTCTTTCTTCTAGCCCTCCTGAATTTGAACCACAGAAAGTTCTGGTCCTGAAAAAACCGAATGGTTAACAGTTGAGACACAGCTGAGTATGAAAGCAGACCTTTCGACTTTAGGAAATACTTAACTTCCCTGCTGGTAAACGATGGCCCACTATCTGTGATCAACACTGCCGGGAGTCCATGTATTGCAAAAGATGTGTGCAGTTTTTCTTTTGTCATCTCTGTGGTTGATGAATGAACTCTATGCACGTCCAGCCATTCTGAGTGGGCATCCACAATGACTAAGAACATTGAGCCCATGAAAGGACCTGCATAGTCAATGTGTAACCGAGCCCAGGGTTTACTCGACCATTCCCACAAACATGGGGGAGCTGCTGGCCGTAACTTTTGTCCTTGTTGGCACTCTGGGCACTGCCTCAATCACAAGGCTATGTCTGCATCCCATCCTGGCCACCAGACATAACCTCTTGCTAACATCTTCATTTTGGAAACTCCTGGATGACCCTGGTGGAGTTCAGACAGTATCTGACGGCAGCCTATGCTTGAGACAATCACTCTGATCCCCATAATAATTTTCCCAAACTCTACTTTGATCTGGTCTCTCCGGGTCCAAAATGGTTTTATTTCTGGTTGTGACAGCCCTTTGGTTTCCCCCATAATCACCAGCTGTTCGAATTTTTCCAGGACCAGAACTTTCTGTGTCCAAAGTCTGTCATTGTCAACTGCGATTGGAAGTGTGTCAGAAAATTTAAAGCCGTTATGGACTCTTCTAGCAGCATTAGCATCGGTGGTGTACCTGCCAGTGGGAGGCAGCTCAATGTATCCATATTTGCTACTTGGCCTTCTGGATGCTGTCCCAACTTGTATTATTTTGCACTTGGTATTAGAGACCACCGCTGAATTTGGCCTGAATCTATGGGTGGCACTGCCTTGCCCTCTTTAAGTAGACCTAGCAGGAGTTTGTGGTCCGTTATTATTGCAAATTTATATCAATAAAGATATTGGTGGAATGTCCTGACTCCAAATAAGATTGCCAAGCCTTCCTCCTCTATCTGGGCATATTTACACTTTGCATTAGCCAAAGTCCTGGATGCACACGCTATTGGGCCTCTCCATTGGGCCACCTATGAGCTAATACTACCTGAATGCCGTACCTGGAGGCATTACATTGTCAGTACTAGATCTCACTTGGGATCATAGTGTGCCAACACCTTAGAGGACGATAGTTATTTCCTCACTTGCCAGAAAGCTATGGGTTGACTATGTGACTATTTCCAAGGCTGTCCCCTTCTTAAGATTTGATGCAGATGGAGGCAGATTATGTATGAGCTTTCTGTAATAACTCTTAAGGAAAGACCAAATCCCGGTACAAGATGTGGAACCGGGGCACCTTTGATCGCCCTCACGTTATCTTCCAGCAGGTGTAACCCAGTCTTGTCGACTCTGTAGCCCAAGTAGGTCACTTGGGGTGCCTGGAACACACAATTTTCCCTTCTAAGGCACATACCCACCTGGGAGGAAACATCTAAGGACAATGTCTAAGTTCTCTAAGTGCTCCTTATTGGTCTTCCCTGTTATTACGACGTCATCTAAATGGCAACCTGTGGTAGACCTTGTAAAATGTTCTTCTTCATCCAGTGAAAAATTGCACAGGCTGATGATACCAAAATGTAAGTTTTGTGTATTGGTACAAACCCTTATGAATGTTAATTGTAACATACTTCTGGGAATCCTCATCTAACCACAGTTGCAAGTACGCATGGCTCATGTCCATCTTTGTGAAGGACTGTCCCTGCCAGCTTTGTGTATAAATGATCTATGCAATGGATTGGTATTTACCCAGCTGCGAGGACCAGTTTATCATTTGTTTAAAATCTCCACAAAGGCAAACTGACCCACTGGGCTTCACAATCGGTACGACTGGTGCTGCCCATTCCATAAACTGGACTGATTTGATGATTCCTTCGCTTTCTAGCCTTCTGATTTCTAACTCTACTTTTGCCTGTAAGGCAAATAGCACTGTGCGGGCCATGCAGAATTGTGGAATTGCTTCTTGGTCAACATGTAAGATGGCCTTGGCTCCTTTGATAGTGCCTAGAAATTCATGAAAAATGTCCGGGTATATAATTTGGACTTCATTCAGGCAGCTATTTCTAATCGAAAAATGTTGAGCCAATCTAGGTAAATCTTTATCAACCAATTTTGCCCATCAAGCTTGGGCTAGAATGTTTTACCACAATCAGTGGTAACTGACAGAGCTGCTTTTTATAAGAGATCAGAACCAAAGTTGTACTCTTAATCTGTAAAGATTCCCTGGTATAGGTTATTCTCAGTCTAGCTGAGGTCTTGCACACACTTAAGGATTGGAGTCTGCAGCAAATTTTGGTAAAGACTGGTTCTGCGATCACTGAAATAGTGGCGCTGGTCTTGACCTCCATTAGAACTGGGTGATCATTTCACCAGACATTTATTCTGATTGGTTCGGATTTGGATTTTGCTAAGCAATTTAACTGATCCAAACCAGATGTGGGTGGTCTTTCCAAGGTATGCAGTCTCCTGGTTACCAAACTGAGTTCTCTTATGCAATTTAGGTCCAGTGGGACTTTTTTTTTTTTGCTGCCTCAAGTCCACTTACTGGCAGCAACTACAATGGCTTGCTGGCCCAAATCCTGAAGAAAATTTTAGCCATTTGGCCGAGGTTTGTCTTTGTTCTAAAGTTTTGCTGTGGACTGACCCAGAGTCCCTCTGTTCAGGATATGTCGTGTGTGCGGCTATTGCATTTGCTCAAGTGGTATTCCCCAAGCTCAGTCAGACTGGCAAGAGTATCCGCTTCCATCGGAATACCCTGCAACTCATATGCTCCACTTGCCACATTTTCCAATGATAAAGCAAGTTGTAGCTTGGAGTCCAGTTGGGCTTCAGCTAGTAGACGCTTTTGAATGGTTGAATGTATTAATCCCATATACCAAATGGTCTCTCAGCATCTCACTGAGGGTTAAACCAAAATCACATGCCTCTGTTAATCATCTTAACCTAGTGAAAAATCCCTGGTTGCCGAATTGCCCAGTTAAACCAATAGTGTATCAGAATTAGAGGAGTCTTGGGGTTGTAATATTTCTTAACTAAATCTTTCAACTCTTGAAAGGTGTCAGTATCTGCTGCCTCAGGGAAAGTTAGGCTCCAAATAACCGAAAAAGCTGTCAGTCCACAAGCTGTCAGGAGAATTACTCATTGCTTTTCATCTGATCATTTCACTTGCACAGAAAAGGTAACATTTTTTTCCAAATACTGGGTCCAATCGTCAACGGCAGGATCAAATGAGTCACGCTTCCCAAATAATGGCATGATGCCAGAAATGCTCACCCCCAACTCAAAGACAACTTCTGCGAGCGGATTTCTTCAGGAACGTGCCTTTCTCTGGTCGCCACTGAAATAAATCTACAGGGGCCGGTATCCCGTCACCAAGTCACCCTTTATTTACACATGGACAGTCCTTGATGTTGATCCAGCTCCCTGAGAGCCAGCTGTCAGAGTAAAAGGGACGTTTGACGCTCCTGTTCTTATCTGTCAGCTTAGGCTCATTGATTGGACCAGATTAACAGCCCCAATCAGGGAACTCATATTCTTTGTGGTCCACCAGGCTGACCTCATTACAATCACTGCAGTTGGGGGTGCCAATCAATCAAGTGGGCAGCTTTGCTTCCATGAACAATATCCAGTAAACAGTGATCAGCAGGCAGGCATCCAGCCAGTCCAATGGGAGGACATCCCCAACCGAAGAGGGTTTCTCAAGATGGAGGCTCCCATGGAAGGTGTAGGAAAATGTTATGATATTAGCGGCCACAGCTGCCTTGCTGTTATTGGGGAGCACACTGAGGTACAATGAGATTCATGTAAGTCACAATGAGGTAACTGATCATATGTCTCTAACATTAGTAAAAGAGAAGACACCAGTCTAGAATGAAATTGGAAGAGGGGTCTTAGACACTGCACTAGATATACAGTTATTT